GGAATTTGGGGTTTTCTTCTCTGCACTCACCCTTTTCCTTTTCTCTTCTAAACTGCTCCTTCAATCTCTTTACCAGTTTACTTGGTATCAGAGTAGGTAGAAGTAACTTGACCTCTCTTCTTTTATTCTCTCTTTATCTATCATCATTTTTTTTCTTGTTTCTTTCGTGAGGGAATTGACAATTAAAAGAGGCCGATTGCTGTTCTGGGTGAGTCGTGATGGTTCTAACCATCACTTCATGTTTGGTGAATGGTATGTTATGTGAGACGCTCTACTGGGAGATTCCAAGAGGTAATGGTGAATATGTGTGTATAAATTGGTGATAGTGGGATGCATCGGTTTGTGAAGATTATATGCTGCAGTATATTTTTAAACAAATGGTGAATGAACATTTTATTATTGCTGAAAAAGCCTAGTGCGTGACTGGCCAATTGTGGGTTAACTACTCAATTCTTATTACTTGTTTTATTGGAAATAATGATTGGAATGGAGTCTAAACCTGCTGTGGTGATGACCTTTGACATTTTATCCATTCAAATGACATCTATTAAATTTTTACTTCAAAAAAAAGACATCTATTAAATTGAATGGGAGTAATTATGCTACATGGGCCAAATTGATAGAGGTATTTTTGATTGCTAAAGGGAAGCCTAGATATCTAACTGAAAACAAACCTGAATTTGGTAGCTTTGCTTATTCAGGTTGGGTGCACGAAGATGTTCAAATAAAGATTTTCTTGGATACCTTGAAGTTGAAGCATATTTGGGATCAGGTTAGAAGAATGTACTCTGGGAGCAACAATATTACTCATATATATCAGTTCCAATCTTTCTTCACGTATAGCAAGGAGATATGTCTTTAGAACACTATTTTTCTGAGTTAATGGGGTTGTGTGAAGTGAAGAGCTGAATATATATGAGCCAGTTACCACTGTTGTTGGTTGTTACTAAGATGCAACAACAAAGATATGGTTTTTCTGTTGCCATGTTTTTATCTGGTATCAAACCTGGATTTGAATCTGTGAGATATTAAATTTTGGGCTGCCAGCAGCTTGAAACTACCATCTGTGGAAGTGGTTTTCTCTAGACTCCGAATAGCAAGACTTTCGGAGTCACAATCTTCACCCACCATGGATTGTTCAGTGTGTATGTATCTGTGAGATATTAAATTTTAGGCATCCATCAGCTTGAAACTACCGTCTGTGGAAGCTGTTTTCTCTAGACTCCAAATAGCAAGACTTTTGGAGTTACAATCTTCACCCACCATGGATTGTTCAGTATTGGCAGTTATTGGACCCATAGGATGTGGTAGTCGTCTACTTGGAGGGTGTGGTGGTGGTGATACCTAGTGGTTGATATGAGACAAGAAGTGGTAGAGGTCGTGGTAGGATCTTGGATATCAGATACTGTACACATTGTGGTTGTGGTTGATATGAAACAATCGGGTCTACTACAGAGTCAGGAAGAGGGGAAAGGAATGAAGTTAACAAAACAAGGGAGGGGGAAGGAGAGGAGGTAACTGTGCACTCCCCTCAAATTGTTTGAACTGATTCAGAGGTAATACAAGATGGGGAGGTAAATATAGAAAAGTTAATAGAGAGGGAGGTTCAGATTGGGAAATCACTTGGATTAGTCTTCTGGGGAGGGGAAGGTTTTGCCTAAATAGCATTCGAGAAATTCGAGCAGAAGAAGAAAGAAGAGAAAAAGGGAAGTCCTAGAGAAAAACAAGGGGTGGAATGAGGAAGAGGAAGAAGAGGAAAATTTGGACGAGAACGAGTAAAGAGGAGTAGGACAGTGGGGGGGGGGAGGGGAAGAGGGATGAAGATTCTCAGTTGGAGTGTGAGAGGTTTGAGGGATGGGAAAAGACGGGAAAAAACAAAACTGGAAAGTTTTGACTTGAGATTGAAACTGGATATTTGGGGAGAGGAGGGTGGAGAATGGGTGGATCTACAAGCTTCAGGATTGTCAGGAGGGGTTGTGATAATTTAGAGTTCATAAGTCTCCAAAGTTGATTTGTTGGAAAATTTCTGGTATTCATTCTAGTTACAGCCTTGTAATTTAGATGCATTCTCAGTTTAATGTTCTGGACATGTAATTGAAGTATGTACTTGATGTTGTTGGTGTGTCATCTAGACAACCAATGTGATAGGATGTAACCTTTTCTTTTAATAAATTTTCTTTCTTCTTGATTCTTCAAAAAAAAAATCTCCATGGAGTTTGAATATGCATAATACACCCATTGTGGTTGACTGGTCGTGAGGGGCATATAATTGACTTTTGTAGACTGTTGAAGAAGCATGCATACCATCTATATACACATTTTTTTGATAAGTAAAATAAAAATTTAATTAAAGATAAAAAGAAGTTACAAAAGAGGGTGTCAAGTCATCACCCAAATACATAGACCAACTTCCAGAATAAAGAACAAGCTCCACATTACAAATCCGATAATCCAGGAACTCTCCTAAACTATTTCCAGAATCCTCCTTTTCTAGCTGACTGAATTCTGGAAGAATCAACAACCATTCTAACATTGATCTGCCCTCAGCCGCGACCATCTTGCCCATGCTGCGGGTTTTGTCTTCAAAAGTCCTACTGCTCCTCTCCTTCCAAATGTTCCAGCAAATTGCAGATGGGATACAGTTCCATGCCCCCTAACAAAAAACTGCACCAGCTCGGCCCACTCTCCTCTATTTGACCCCCAAATCTCGTTCTTTAACGTTAGATCAGAAGACTCCAACTTTGTATCATGCAGTAGTACAACATCTGGGCTGTGTTTTCTCAAAAGATTTTTAACCACTTCTATCCTCTTCCCAACTCTCAATCCCGTCACACTCCATGATAAAAGCTTCACTTTCCTCACCTCCCCTGCCCCCTCCAACAGTCCTTCTATTCCTCTTCCACCGAACCTACTAATCTCCCATCCCCCTCTTCCCCTCCTCTTTCTAGCTCCTCCCTTCTAGACCTTTTGTACTGATCAATAGCCTTTCTCACCACATCCTCTCCTCCCAGGAAAAACAGAACTAAGGTTTTGCTGCCTACCTCAATCTGTCTTTCAGCCAACTCTTCTATGTACACGCTGTACTCTTAATGGACATACCATTATTGGTTTATAGTGATCTCCAATTCTCCATGGAGTTTGGATATGCATAATGCACCCATTGTGGTCGACTGGTTGTGAGGGGTATATGGTTGACTTTTGTAGATTGTTGAAGAAGCATGCATGCCATCTATGCCCATTAGGCTACTTATCATGATGTTGTGTAGTCATTTGCTACATCAACTCAATGAAATAGTTATACTATAACTATTATCCATAGGAGTGGTCTTGGCCCTGAGTGGGCTTAGCACCTATGTTAAAGGCTATAACTTGGGCCTGGGCCTGGGTTGGGTTTTGGGCTTAAGTCACAAATTAAATATTATAAAATATATAGTATTTTATATTATATGACATAATATTTGTATAAAACATATGATACAATTTATGCAATATGAAATATTGTCTATATTATTTATTATAACTATTATTTTGTAATATTTATATAATATAATATAAAACATATATTACAAGTATTGTTTAATATATAAATAATATGTTGTAGGATGGGTCGGGCTTGAAGCGTTGGGCTTAGGCCTGGCCCTAAAATCGTTGGGCTTGATGAACACAAAAACCTATGCCCAAGCTTGGAAATTTTTGGGATGGATGAAATCAACCACCTTTAATTACTGAGGCATATGCTTGGCTAAAATATACTTCTACAACCTCTTCTACTATTACTCTAGCCCAAACATTGGGCACATCGTTGCATTCATTCAATCCAAATGTCACCAAAGCCTTTTATCTTCAAGATGTTCCATAAAAACTTCTAGTCTACTTAGCGGTTCAAAATTTCGATACGCCTTTATGTATTGACAGAGGAGTATTGGAACTTAGAAACACACATAAACTCTTTTTTGTAGTTTTTTTTCAAAGTTTAGTTTTTAGGGAGTTAAAAACATGTTTTTTTTTTAATTGAAAAAGAGTGGGGTTTCGAAACACCTGGAAATAGGCCTATAAGGACCCAAAAGATATGATATGATATGCCCGATACGGGGTGTATCGTATCGAAATTTTGAACCTTGGTTTACTCTATCACAAGCTTTTTACCACCCTCTCCATCCACTATTTGTCTAAAAAATTCAATTGTATTCCACTATCTCTCTCCTCCATCACCTCATTGGCATGAAAATCCCATCCACTATCTATCTACCTCCAACAAAGGCACCTTAGGTTTTAGCGACAATACCTTTGATGAAGTAAGCCGATTCGCAAGGACTTTGGACAAAATTTTATACAAGCTACCCAAAAGGCTGATTAGCTTGAAGTCTTTGATCTCTACAACACCTTCATTCTTAGGAATCAGCTTGATGAAGGTGGCATTATTACCAATTTTAATTTTTGCAGCTTAGTGAACATCTTCAAACACCTCTGGAAGATCCTTTTTAATTACATCCCAATGTTCATGATAGATCATCATCGAGAAACCATTTGGACCTGGGGCTTTACCTTCATCAGTGAGCAGACAACCTCTTTAGTTTCCTATTCATTGAACTCTCTCCAGCTAAATCTTCGTGTCTTCTACTAGTCCAATATGCTAAGGAGGGTCTCCAACTTCTATCCATGAAGTTAAGGTTTTCAAAAAGGTCAATGGTTTCCTTCTTGATGAGATTGGGATCTTCCACCTGCCAATCCGCTAAAGAGGGTATCCAATTTCTATCTGCAGAGTAATTAAAAAAAGTCAAGGATTTTACCTTGCATGATTCTCTCCCATTGGCAAAGTGAGGAAACTTTAAATTACAGACTTGAAGAAGATTACAATTCACTATCATTCTTTATAAATCTTGTCTTGGCTTCAAAGTTGATATGTTACATATTTTTTTTACATTACTTATATGTATATGCATGTTTGCATTTGTTTAGTTGCTCATGGCTTTTGTTTCTGCATATGCTCTATGTTTTAGGAACTTAACCGGGAAGAACCAGCTGGATTGGGTGGGCCACATGCTGAGCATTATGTTCTTGATTCTAGAGGTGCTCTTGTGGAACGACGAGCTGTTGTTTGTAGGGAAAGGCTCATCCTTGGCCATTGTCTTGTCCTTTCTGTCTTAGTTGTACGGACAAGTAAGCAATTAAGAATTTCTTTCAATTGTTTTTCTGGTAATTGTGAACTTGCTGTGCCTTTTGAATGTTTGCAGTAATTAGAAATAAAGCTTTGCATGCAAAGAAGTTAGATGGGGAGTTTCAATCTTTAATTTTGTTATCATTTTTGAACTTTCTTTTTGTGTTTTCTTTTATTTCTTATTTGGATTTCTTCTGTTTTGTGTGTTTTTTTTTTTAGTTTTTTATCCATCAATAATGGGTTTCATAATAGCTTTATAAGTTTACCATATTCAAAGTGTTTAATGCTTAGTTTTGAATATATCTTTTTTTTTTTTCATCTTTTGTTGTCATGTGATATTGTATTTCATAACATAAGTGTATATTATTTGTTCCTTTTAGGGATAGGAAGGTTGAAGGATAGAAATGATTATCATTTGGGGAATTTGGAATCGGAGGTTCCTAGGTGTTAAACAAAATGTGATATTTTGTGATCAAGAGAATTCATGGTTATTGCTGATAAAAAAAGAGTATTCATGGTCTATCGTCTTTTTTTTTTTTGAAGAAAAAGTTAACTTTATTCGAAGAAAAGAAAGGTACATGAGGAGATGTACATAGCAATTAAGCACTCAGAAAGTTACATAGGCAAAAAACTATCACTAAAAAGGGAATCCCTGTGAGCGCCAGATTTAGCTAGACTGTCGGCTTTAGAATTTAGCTCCCTTGGAATCCAGACTACATGAGCATTTAGAGAAGAGAGGATGTCTCTCGCTTCAGCCAGGTAGTGGGCTAAAGCCCAAGGCCCACTGTCAGGGTTAGAAAGCCAGTCAATGGTGTTGGCTGAATCTCCTTTAATGGTAAGGTTTAGTAAGCCCATGTCTTTTGCAATCCTGATGCCGATTAGAGCTGCCATGACTTCGGCCTTTGTTGAGGAGGCTATCCCAATCGGCCCACTAAAAGCTCATCTGATATTGCCATTTCTGTTTTGAATTACCCCTCCAATACCCGCAGCACCTGGGTTTCCAAAAGCACTCCCGTCAAAGTACAAGATCGTCTCCCCTTCCACTTCAGATCTGAAACTGCGGGAARTGATGAGCTGTTTATGATTAGAGTGAAGAAAATTTATGGCGTTTCTTTGAAGGTCATCAAAAGTAACTCCTCTGAAGTAAATTGAGTTGGAGGTCCACAAGAAACATCTATAACAGATTATAGAAATCAGCTCCTCAAATTTTTTTTGTTCTGTTGGTAAACACCCGGTTGTTTCTCTCTTCCCAAATGCTCCAGAAGATAGCATGAGCAGCAGACAGCCATAAAGTTTTTCTTCTTTTGCTTAAACCTCTTCCGGACCATTGCCCTAAGCAATCAATCACATTTTCTGGGAATACCCAGCTGTATTCAAAGAGTGATGGAAAGAAATTCCAAAATTTTCTAGTTTCCTCACAGTGAATCAGGATGTGGTTGGTAGATTCCCCAGCTTTAAGGCAGAAACAGCACACACGGGGAGATAGATAATACCTTCCATGATTCTTTTTCTGAAGGAGGTCGTAAGTATTGATTTTCTTTAACCTGGCTTCCCACACAAAAAAGCATACCCTAGAAGGGATATGAGCACACCAAATTCTCTTGTAGGGGTACTGATCAGTAGCTTGATCTTCCCTAACTAAAGCCTTGAAGCAAGACTTGGTTGAAAACTTACCTGATGGGTGAAGGGTCCAAACACGGAGATCTGGGGAAATTTGGGAGAGGTATACCTCTCTCAGGGTATGCAAGAAGCTAGTGATTTCACTAAGTTCCAGGTCCCTTAAAGGTCTCCTGAGATTTAGATTCCAGTTGAAGTAAGGGGGGTAAAACCTGGGATATGGAAGCTTCTTGGTTTATGGTAAGGCTGAATAGGCGAGGGAAGGAGTTGGCTAAGGTAGAATTACCGCACCATAGATCAGTCCAAAACTTAATTCTATCGCCCTTTCCCACCTTATATCTGATAAAGGATATGAAAAAAGTGTAGTTTGAGATTATACCTTTCCAAAGGTGGGTGTCTTTGACCCGATTCAAGTGGAGCTTGCTATCCCAACCATTGGCGTGCTTTCCGTATTTGCTAGTAATTACAGCAGTCCAAAGCGCATTTGGTTCAAGAGGGAATCGCCACAACCATTTACTGAGAAGAGCTGAGTTTCTTTCTTTCAAGTGGCCTACTCSCAATCCACCTCCCTCCTTTGGTTTGCTAACCTGAGACCACTTCATAAGGTGAGAGCCCCTTTCCCCACCTCCTTCCCAAGTGAAGTTTCTCTGAAGTTTTTCTACCTGAACTGCTATCTTGTTGGGCATGCGGAAGATGGAGAGGTAGTAGGTGGGAAGGTTTGCCAATGCTGCTCTAACTAGAGTGAGCCTCCCCCCTTTTGACAAGTAGTTCCTTTTCCATGTGGCTAACTTCTTCTCACGTTTTTCTAGAATTGGTTCCCAAAAGTTTTGATTTCTCGGGTTTCCTCCAAG